ACGTGGTAAATGGGATAATTGTGTTTTTGTTTTTTTGTTTTGAGTACTTCAGTCACCTAAACTTTGGCTGTTTACCTAATATATTGCCCAATGGAGATGTGTGTGTGTATATGTGTATATATGCAGACAAGGTTCCTTGGGTGAATTTGATATCTTTTATTATCTGACAGCATTCCATGTCTCAAATAGCTGTTATTTCTTACTCTCAGTTGGTGCGTTTCATACATTTACATGTCTTTGGTAGAGCACTTTATAGTTTTGACTGGCTTATGACAGTCTTCATGGTTTGGTCTCTTGTATAGCTGAGCAATGATAGAAATTAATGCCCTTTGAGCACTCGTGCTATAAATGCTGTACTCCTGCAAGGTCCGTGGGTACTAAGGAGCTTTGTTCCTTTCCTTTCAAGCTTTAAAATGTACACCAGTATGAAATATTTTACATTTCAGGCCTATTGAATTCCATTTCTATATTTGATTTTGTATGATTTTGGGAAATCTTGTTACTTTCCCATTTCTTGTATAAGTTAGTAAAAAAAAAAGTTTGTTTTTTTCCCCTCACTCCATCTCTTACTTTCCTTTAAATTATCAGTAAAATGTAGTGTTTATGGAACCCATCTTGTTTCACATAAAGAACTGTTGGACTTGGATGTAAAAAGAGAATTTATAACTAAGAATTTGGTGGTCTGTATTTCTCTATTCCTGACAGCTCACCTGACTTCCTGTATGCGACTTCTAAGGTCATGGCCAGACTAAGCGTCTGAGGACAATTCAAAGGCTTGCTTTCTTTTTAAATTAGTTTGAGGCTGTATTAGCAGTTAGCTACTCACTATATAGTTGGCTGGTATATCTCAGTAGCCCACCAGTGAATTGAAGAAGCTACAGAGTAAACAAGGGTGAGACCAGAATATAGAAATCACGGCTCTTGAAAATCTTGTTTTCTGTAGTCTTTAAGAGTATTGTAGTTTTCCCACCAGGTGCAAAGGATGATATTTGTAGTCAGAAATAAAAAATGTTTTGACTACAGAAAAATCAGAAAGCTCTGTCTTGCCTTGATAAGGCAGAAAGCATACCGTGGCATGATGCCACTGTGTTGGGACTGAATAAATCAAGATACCGAGGCACTCTGAAGCTTTCACATAGGTGTGGCCAGTGTTGGAGGATTCCACCTTTTATAGTCTCGTACATCAGTAGGTATTTCTCTCATTGCTTATTAAATGAAATGCCTGTTACTATAACCTATGAACTTCCTCAGCTTTTTGTCTTAGTAAGTAACTGTTATAAAACAATTACAGGCAGCCCTTGTACTTACAACACAATTGGTTCCTGAAAACCAAGTCTTAAGTCGAAACATTGTAACTTGGAACCAATTTTCTCGTAAGAAACAATGTTATAAATGGGGGATTAGTTCCTGAACCAAGGCCCCATACCCTATTTTCACCAAAAAATATCCCAGAATTTTATACTTGATCAATTATAGATGAGTAATATAGCTACATTAATGTATTTATATTGTAAATAGCAATCCTATTGATTTGGAAGAACTTCTTTGAGGAGGCTTTCCTGGACTTTTTGAAAGGCTCTTGGTTGGACTTTTTGAAGGATGCTTAGCTGGAGTCTTCTCAGGAGTCTTGGCTGCAGGTTTTTCTGAAGCCTTGTCTGCTTTCTTAAAGAAAGTAAACAAGGAAGTTGGGGCAAATGTTCTCCAGGGAGATGAGCGACTCAGCGATGGCATGCCAAACCAAGCGTTGTAAAGTTGAAACTGATGTCATAAAGTTGAAACAGGGTGTCAATTTATAAATGTTGTAAGTGCAAAATGTTGTTACTCGAAACGTTGTAAGTAGAGGACTGCCTGTACACCAGAATTTGTGTGTTTTGTGTCTATTCTACCAAGAAAGAAACTACAGAAATGTTCACGAGGACTGAACTGTTACTGATCTGTGGCTTATAGCCTGGTGGTGCCTTCTCACCAGGTGCACAGGTATACAGTTCCTACACTTTTCAGTTAGGCAAATCATGACTAGGTAGAAAAGTAAATGTTACATTCAGATGTTTTGTCCAGTCTATGTAGAATCATAATAGATGTCTAGTGACAAGAGTGAGGGTACGGTTTCCAATTTTATGATGCTAGCTTGTTTTCATTTCATGTGACACTGACTTCAGAAATCCCTTTTAAAATCATCACAAACCCAACTCACTTCATGTAATTAGCAAATTATTATTTGACAGGGCAATATTATATAGAAAGCTGCAGTTGTGTATTTATGTACACTGGTGTCGAGTACAGACTTTTGTCTGTTTTTTTTCCCCAAGTCAATTATGACATTTCCCCATAAACCTAAAATCTGAAATCTTAGTTTAAGTCTATATAAGTTCTTTATTCTCAGTGGCAGAGTCTAATTGTTGGCTTGATTAAAGTCAATCTTGTGGCATGGTCAGTGGATACTTTGGGAGTACCCACCACATTTTTACTTAGAACTGTTTCTGTGGGAGAGACTTGGCAAGAAGAATATAAATACAAGATGGGTTACCAGAAGTGAATGTGTGTAGGTGGGCATTGAATGTGTAGTCTGATGGACAGTGGCATGCAAGCTGTACCATCCAAGAATATACTTCTTTCTTTGGTTACCTGTGAACCTACAACAGTATGTCTCTGCTGACTGTGCATAGACTGTTTGTTTTGCTCAAATATTCCAGAATTAGTTTCTAGTAATTGCTAGCTTTTTTCCGTCCAAACCTTTTCCAGTAGTTTCCTTGATAATCAATATTCAGTGCTGAGTATATTAGGAAAGTGAGCAGAGGTAACATATCAAGACCAGTGAGTATGCTAGAAATAATGCTGAGTTAGAAAATGCAAGAATGACATTGTAGGATTCAAGCTTACAGAGTGATTTTTCCATCCATGGAACTCTTAAATTTTTTTCTGCTTTTGTCTTTTTTCAGAAAGTGGATGGAAGAAGTCGTTAGGCAAGGCTGGGTCTTCCGACAGTGTTACTACTTCGCTACCTTTGTATACTGTACATTGATCAGTCAGAGTCCAAACTTGAAAGCTAATGTTCAAGGCCTTCTCTGTGTGGGAACCTCTGGGTAAATTAATCCAAATTAACTTTTAGATTGGATTAGTTAAATTGCATTCAGTTGTATTATGCAGACAGTCTTATTCAGAATTAGTGGTCTTGCTTTGGGTTTACCTTAATTGATTTACAGAGTAATTCTGACCAAACTCTGACTTGCATCCATAGATGCTGTAAACCAAACTCTGACTTGCAATCATAGATGCTTCTCAAGTAAATCTCAGGATGTCATCCTCCTGCTGTACTCAGCTTTATTGAGGCTGCAACTGGAGTACTGCATCCAGTTCTGGGCTCCACAATTCAAGAAGGATGTTGAGAAGTTTGAGAGAGTCTAGAGGAGGGCCACATGCATGATCAGAGGACAGGAGAATAGGCCTTATGAAGAGAGGCTGAGAGCTATGGGACTCTTCAGCCTGAAAAAGCACAGGCTCAGGGGTGACCTGGTAGCAGCCTGAGTACATCAGGATCTGGGGGAACTTCTGTTCACCAGAGCACCCCAAGGGATGATGAGAACCAACTTTCACAATCTCCTCCAAGACCATTTTAGGATGGGCATAAGGAAAAACTTCTTTACTGTCCCAGCCCTGCTGGCCTGGAATAGGCTCCCTCCAGACATGGTGCAAGCACCTACTCTGGATTCCTTTAAGAAGTGTTTGGACGCATATCCTGCTTGGATCCTTTGACCCTAGCTGACTTCCTGCCCTTGGGGCAGGGGGCTGGACTCGATCTTCCAAGGTCCCTTCCAGCCCTAATGTCTATGAATCTATGAAATATATGAAATATGTCTGCATAGAGGATTCGTATAGTTTAATCAGTTTGAAATTTGCAACTTAAGTTGCACATTAAGCTGAGCCCTAGATTGTGGATTCAAGCTGTACAGAGATTGTGCAGGACTGGGGTTACCATATGTCCAGGTTTTCCCGGACATGTCCTTCTTATTAGACCCCTGTGCTGTGTCCGGGTGGTTTTTTAAAATAACAGCAAATGTCTGGGTTTTTTGTTTTTGTGACCTGGCTGCTTCAGGTTGGGAGCAGCAGGCAAGGGGATTGGCTGTCGGGGGTCACGTGTTCCCTGTGCAGGTTCTGACAAGCCAGGTAGAGAGAGAGAGAGAGAGAGTGCTCGCAATGTGGGAGCTGCTTGGGCAGTGGGGCTGGGGAGGCAGGGGGCTTTGGGTCCGGAGTGCGGGATGCTGGCAGTGCTGGGCGGGGGCAGGGCTGTGGGTCGGGAGGGAGGGGCACCAGTGGGGCTGTGAGTTGGGAGGGAAGGGCACGGGGGACAGGAGGGGTGACTGTGTTGGGTGTGCAGGGCACTGGCAGTGTCGGGGGCTGGAGTTTGGGAGTGAGGGGCACCAGCACGGCTGGGGGGCAGAGACTTGTTCCAGAGTGAGGGGCACTGGCAGAGCAGGGGGCTGCAGGTTGGGAGTGAGGGGCACTGGCAGGGCTGGGGGGGCAGGGGCTGCGGTTCCAGGGTGAGGGACACTGGCAGGGCTAGGGTCAGAGAGTCTGGAATGAGGGGCAGCAGGTCGGGGGGGGGGTGTGGCTTGTCAGTGAGGGGCAACAGAATGGGCAATGGCATGTCACTGTCCCTCCCACCATCATGTTTCCCCTGCCCGCGCAAGTGATGGGTGTTCTTTTTTGGACCTGAAAATATAGTAGCCCTATAAAGATGTGTCTTGAAAATGAAAAATAGGTATTTGTGCACCTGAACGGTAGGGAGAAGGGTACATCTTGAAGTGGGAACATCTGTCTACCTAATACATCATATTATAATAAATTCTCAATTCCTTCTAGAATTAATTTGTATTCAAATGACTTTTCCTCCTTAAATGGAAGGCTATATTGTCTTCTAAATGAAACCAAGGGTAACCTTTGCTCATAACTGGAATGATGAAATAAAATATATGATTTTTCATCAATTGTCCCCTCTGCAGATGATGAGCTGAAGCTAAACATGGTCCCCTACGAATGTGTGTGTGAAGGCATGTCCTGTGGGGCTGAAGATCGCTGCCGGGGCCAGCAGTGCTTTTCCTCCCTCAGCATAAATGATGGCTCTAAAGTATACCAGAAAGGCTGTTTCCAAGTCTACGAACAAGGGAAAATGACATGCAAGACACCCCCATCTTCTGACCAAGCTGTTGAGTGCTGTCAGGGATACTTGTGTAACATGAATATCACAGCACAGTTGCCTACTAAAGGTGAAAGGTTAATTTTTTTAAACAGCTCTTTAAAGAGAGAGAAATGTTTTACTGGAGGTTGCCTATACCCCAGTGGTACCCAGGGTTTCAGTGATGGTCAGGCTTCTGCTGCATCATTGGACTGGGAGTAGGATGGCATTGGTGGCAACAAATTCTGTGATCTGAATGGGAGGGAGTATTGGAAACTAAAATGCACAGAATAGAGACTAAGAACTTGCTCATGCTAGCTGTAATTAAAATCCATTTAAATCTTTAAAAGGGATTGGGGCTGTCATACAGGCCTTTCAGTGAGTAAGTGAAGGTAATGGGCTGTGTAAATACACATGAAGTCGCTTTGATTGTCCTGTGACCTCTTTCATTTGAGTTGACTAGAAAGGAAAATGTTAGCCTTAAATTTTATTGTTTTTAAATGATTATCTGTGAGAGTTCTTAATCTCCCTCCTTTTTCCTGTTTTCTTACCAAGGGCAAACTCTTCAGGGAGAAGCTGTGGGTTACACTGTGGAAACACTAATCCTTGTTATACTGGCTCCAGTACTAGTGCTGATAATCTTTTCTGTGGTAGCTGTGTTGATCATCAGAAAAATCCAGAAACACCATATGGAAAGGCTCAATTCCAGAGATGCAGAGTATGGCACAATTGAAGGACTCATTGCATCAAATGTTGGAGACAGTACATTGGCAGTAAGTCAGCATTGTGTATAGTATAAATATTCTTAACCTTTCAGCACCTCAGTTGTTTTGGTTTTTCTCCAGTGGTTAGGTCTACACTAGAAACTTCCTGTTTTAGTAGTGTTGATTATGGATATGATAACCCTATGTTTACAAAAGCCATAATATAAATCCAGTTTATACCAGAGTAAGAGTTTGTGCCAGCATAGTTTTATTTCACTTGGGGAGCCGGGGTAATGTATATCGACAAAAGCAGTCTTGTATTCAGATAAGATGAGAGAGAAGTTGGGGTGCTTGCTAGCCCAGCGACTCTAGCAAAGAATGGATAGTGATTCATGTTGCTTTATAGAGTCTTGTGAAGTTGAACGAGCAACAATGCATTTGTCTCCATGATGTTTAATGAATTCCTAAAAGTTAGCTAGGGGAAGGGAGTGCACAGGGAAAGGGGATTAATACCCCACAGATGTATTTATGTTGACAAGATTAGAAATTATTGCCCTGTTCTTGCTTTGGGGACTCCTTTTGGATGCCTGGAGAACTAGTGAAATTTTAATGTCAGAAGACATGGAAACCTGAGGAAAGAAGACTTAAGGTTTTTTAAAGATCTATTTTTGTTTGTTTTAGTTAGCATTTACTGAGGCTAAAAAAACCCAAACATCCCACATGGAAAAATCTTTAAAAAGAAAGATTCAGACCACTCCACCCACTCACTTGAGCATGAGAAAATGGTCACAATAGTTTTCTTGTTCCCTACTGGAACTAGGAAGACACAACTTGGTAGACCTGACATTTCTAAAATAAATACAAAGAAGAAAAATCACCATCTGTTTGGATTAAAAAAAGTCTTTAGCCTGTCTTATTTCACAAAGAAGCCAAAAAGCAAACATCATTCTCCCATAATATTATTGTAACACTTTAAATATGTTCATAGCTACAGAAGTGTTTAAGGAATGACTTAAGGAGGGAAAATGGGCCAAAGAACACAGATATAAAGATTAATAATGTGCTGTGTATTTGGGTTTAGTATTTCCTGTCTCTGTTTTGAGAGACGAGTCAAATGATGGCCACTCAGCTTTTGCTTCCTTTTAAGAGGTGAAGTAGCTAACTGTAAAAGCTTATTACAGTTTAACTGCTGTACGGTACTGAGAATGAATCTTTGTTATATAGTGCAACTGAGTAGTGGTAATACAAAAAGTTGCTTGTCTCGTCACATATTGATAGTATTCATAGATGTTAGGGTCGGAAGGGACCTCAATATATCATCGAGTCCGACCCCCGACCTAATTCATATCACCTAATTCTTTTTATTTTGTACTAGTATTTCCCCTTCATTGAGTATTTAAATCTTGGGGTTGTAATGCCGTCAGATTTGTTTACACCTGGGATTAGTCTCCTCGGTGTATTAAATACTTACTACAGTAAACTTCCTAACTGAAGAATGGAAAGAGTTGTGGCCTGCTAAAATCTTGTTTGTGCAGGCATTGCTGAAGATAACAGTTTGCTTTCTAATACAAGTAGAAAGGAAAATGTTAGTTCACAAAGTGGATAAAAACTCCCAAGCAAGTCCAGTCCTTAAAACAAATAATTTGACAAATGATTTTATGTTTGAGTACACTTAAGAAATAAGAGACTTCACAGGTTTTTAGTTAAAATCTGAAAGTGCAGTTTGTCACTAATTTATGAAAATTAATATATCAATAAAATATTTATTGTTTTTCCCTACCAAGAGAAGTAAATAGTTCAGTAGTGATTATGCTTCCATTTGTGTCTCAAGTGAATTGTAAAGTATATAAAAATGGATGGGTATTAGGATTTTTATGTTCAGGGTAGAAACAGACGTCATCTTTCGTTGCCTTTGTGCCATCATAAAAATTGCTTTATGATGAGAGAGTTTGGGCAATCTAAAGCTACCTCCATTCTTCCACCATCCTGGGTATCAGCTCCCTTGGTTTTTAGGGGCCCTGTGCTCCCTAGGAATTCCTGTGCAGGACTGTGCCCCTTAAGCCCGGCGAGTGCCTGCCTGACTTTCCCCACTTAGAGGCACACTTTGGCAATCTGTGGGACTCGTATTTGGAAGTGGGGAAAGTCAGGGGTCTCTTCTTCCCAACTCACCCAGAGATTGCTGGGGTGTGTCTGCAAGCAGAGAATGCATGGCGCATTGTCTTGCAAGATCAGTGGGTGGGACAACGAGCAGCATGTGTTCTACTCACTGAAGCAGATCTGTTGTGCCAGGACATATTCTGGCACAGATGATCCACTTTGTTTGGCAACGTCTGTTTTTAGCCCCTGTTGGAGTCCTACTTATTCATGATTTGATGAGTTTAAAGTTTAAACTTTGCCACTTCCCATTATTTTTAGTGCAAAAACCCCCCAAACTTTTTAAACTAAAAAGATTTGTCATTTTAAAACTATCAGGAGTGTTTAATTATATGGTAGCATTTTAGATAGTAGTTTTGTGTTTTTCATGATAAGACCGTTTCTGTAGTTACTTGTAACTTTGTCGGATTTGTGTGTGGTTTTGGGTGAAACGTTCTGTGCTGAGTGTCTGCTTCAGGCTAAAATTTTCTGGCTAGGAATGTTCAGCTAGAATGGCTCTCCATTTCTATGAATGAGATGTGTGCAGGGAAGTTTTGTTTATGTTAAAAAAAAAAAGTGTGGGGGTGAGGGGAGGAAGAGATCTGCAAACCTCTTTTTGGGAGCAGAACTTGAAATTTGGTGTAGGGACTACCATGCTGTCTGAACATGCCTTTTGTCATCCTGCCAAAAATGTGGCCAGTTTTTATAAATATGTATCTGTAAAGTGGGTATGTTAATGCTTGGTAGAGATTTCTTGTTTTGGCACCTGAATTTACTGAAGGTTTATATGTGCACATGCTTACAGCTGCTACTTGTCAACCAGGCTGCACATACACCATTTACTCCCCACTGTGTAAATGGGCGTGTTTCCTCTAAGAGCCTCTGTGGTGCAGGGAGATGTCCTCAGGGTCTTCAGTATTTTCTCCCAGCTTGTATGCAGGCATTGAAGAGGAGGAGGAGAAAGCAGGATGATTTTAAAGTTGAAGATGAACAGTAGAAGGGAGGACTTAGGGACAGGAGTAAGAAGTTGGTGTGGAAGATGGAGACGGAAGCAGAAGAGGGTTGAAGACCAAGGAAGGAAATAACGGGTATGAGAAGGGCTGGGGAGGAAGAGGGATGGAGCAGAAGTAGTATCATGGATAGAAAATATAGAGGTCTGTAGGGGCAGAATAAGGGACAAAAGGGTCTGTAGAGCACACTCCGTTACAGAACCTGCAATTCATAGTTTCATAGTTTGTAGAGTTTGACAGATCATCAAGTCCAACCCCCCTGCTAGGGCAGGAAAGAGCACTGGGGTCAAACAACCCCAGCAAGGTGTTCATCTTGCCTCCTCTTAAAGACCCCCAGGGTAGGAGCCAGCACCACTTTTCTTAGAAGTTGGTTCCAGATCCTAGCCGCCCTGACAGTGAAGTAGTGTCTCCTGATGTCTAGTCTGAATCTACCCTCTGCCAGCTTGTGACCGTTCTTTCTAGTCACTCCTGGTAGTGCTCAAGGGAACAGAGACTCCCCCAATACCTGCTGGTCCCCTCTGACTAGTTTGTAACAGGCCACTAGATCCCCCCTAAGCCTTCTCTTGTGGAGGCTGAACAGGTTCAGGTCCCATAGCTTCTCCTCGTAGGGCCTGCCCTGCTGCCCCCGATCATGCGGGTGGCCCTCTGAACCCTTTCAATGCTGTCCACAATGCTGAAGTGCGGCGCCCAGAACTGGATGCAGTACTCGAACTGCGGCCTGACCAGTGCCGCATAGAGGGGGAGGATCACCTCCTTGGACCTGCTCGAGATGCATCTGTGGATGCATGACAAGGTACGGTTGGCCTTCCTGACCGTGTCCCCACACTGTCGGCCCGTGTTCATTTTAGCCTCAATAATGATTCCAAGATCCTTTTCTGCCTCTGCACTGACAAGAAGGGAGTTCCCCAGCCTGTAGGTATGCTGCTGGTTCTTCCTCCCCAGGTGCAGCACCTTGCACTTGTCAGTATTGAAACCCATCCTGTTCTCATCTGCCCACCCCTGTAACCTGTCTAGGTCCAATTGCAGCCTATTCCTCCCTTCTAGCGTGTCCACATCCCCCCACATCTTAGTGTCATCAGCAAATTTGAATAGGGTGTTTTTTACCCCCTCGTCCAAGACACTGATGAAGATGTTGAACAGTACGGGTCCGAGGACCGAGCCCTGGGGGACCCCACTGCCCACATCCCTCCAGGTCGAAAATGACCCTCCCACCACCACTCTCTGGGCGTGGCCCTCCAGCTAGTTAGCGACCCATTTGATTGTGTAGGTGTCCACTCCATAATTTAAACCATTATTCCTGAGTTCCCATGTTCTGTCCAGGAAATATCTGGACAGCATCCAAATATTCCCAGATACTTTTCTAATGTATCTAAATATATGAATCCATCTCCTTAAAATTGACCACTTTAGGTAACAGCCTTCTACTGCTGCCTGTTATTCTCTCTCAAAATCCCCTGCCCTCCTTCTCTAGCCAGTTTTGTTTCACTCCCTCTCCCTTTAAAAACAACACAAAACAGATGTTAAAAGAATGTTAAGGGATGTCAAGCACTGAATGATTGGGAAATTAAAACTGCTGGTGCAAGTGCAACCTTAATTTGGGCCCTTTTGTGTGCATATATTTTGATAGTCTTGAATTACACAGTTCTGTATTTTTTCCAAGGACTCATTCAGCTCACAAGGTTGAGGGGGATTTCATGTGTGTTATCAGTAGAACAAATGGGTGGCTAGTAATATATTTTGCCAAGTATTACACTTGACTGGTGAAAAAGTGGAAGTTCATCTTTGCAGTGTTGTGTGTGTGGGGGGGCTCTTTGTTTTTTGAGGGGGTGGGCATCTGTGTTCGTTTTGTTTCTGAAAATTATCACTTTCTGAAAACGCATAGAAGTGTCATATTGGAGTGTTCAAATGCTGCCACCTGGTGGAATACTCAAAAAGTTTCCAATGCTAGGGAACAAGAATAAGAAGTTTCAGAGTTTAAATGTTCAGGTTTAAATGTGCATTTTACCTTTTGATCTCTTCAATTCTGAATAGTTTAAAAAAGCTTTGCATGGAAAAAAATCCAAGTTCTAACTCTCTCTTTCAGAACATAAGGGATTTATAAAACATATAATGTTATATGTGATATGAGACAGCAATAATCACTTACGGGGAGGTGTCCTATCTCTGATTAGTCAAGTGACATTTACAGCACTGTGCTGTTCTGGTAATCTTTAATGAAAAGGTACAGAGCAAAGGGTTTCTCTCTTAAAAGTAAATGCTGTATTTTTACTTTCTAGTAAGTGTTCAGGGCCTGAAGTCTTAATTTTGGTAACAGCCTGAGAAGTGAAATTTATACCCTTTAGAAGGAAATCCTCCTATGAGACAAAGTGTTCTAAAACAGGAAGTGGATAAAAGGTTATTTGAGATGGTGACAAATAAAGGATTAAGGGAGCAAAAGCTAAGCTAAGACAGGACAGGGCATTAAAAGAATTTGAGTGGAATTTTATTACAGAGAGTATCTAGCATACTATTGGCAGATCCCCAAGGGCAGCAGTACAGCTCATAATAAATGTTGCTCACTTTTTTAAATGCAACAAAAAAGGTCATTTAGAGGAAAATAATTCAGTGGGTGCAACTGTCAACTGAAAAACGTAGCAATAGAATAACAATGTATATGTATATGTGTGTATATATATATGTATATATACAATGTATATATATATTGAATATATTTTCTGTAGAGAATTTTGAGCTTTTTTTGTTTTGTTTTCTTTTGTATTCCCACACAAAGTGTTGCAATAGGAAATAGCTGTATATAGTTTGTTTTGTCTCTT